TTTATATTATGTTTTTTAATATACTTTTCGACAATTTAGCGTGAATGAAGTGTTCTGTATTTAGAAATAACTATTTTTCCGTTATGAAATAGCGAATTATAGCTAATAAACAGATAAATTTTGATTATTTTTTATTTATTTATTTATTTTATTTAATGTAATTTTTTTAACTTCTTTCTCAATATTTTTAAGTGAATAAAGTGTTTTATATATGAAAAGAATTATTTTTCTTTGTTAAAGAGCGAATAATGGCTGAAAAAAAGAAAAAAGTCGTATCAGGAGACATGCACACATGACACCCCGTTTCTCCCTATTATATTAACCTATAAATTTCAAACTCGGCCTGAAATGCGAGTCTAATGTAACAAGCAATTGTACCAGAGCAATTTTTTATAGACTAATTAGTGGGCCCACAATGCTCCAAAATATGTTTTGTTGACTAACCGGGAGGAGGTGCTTTAAGCTAAATATAAGCGGAGCAGGTATGTGATGCGTGGTGCGGTTGTTAGCGCTGTGGGCAAGAATGATATGTAGTCTCGGAAGTCCTGGGTTCGATACCCTGCAAGGGTCGACTTTAAATTTTCCTTATTTGTTTTATATTAGGTTTTTCAATATACTTTTCGACAATTTAGCTAGAATGAAGTGTTCTGTATTTAGAAATAACTATTTTTCCGTTATGAAATAGCGAATTATAGCTAATAAACAGATAAATTTTGATGATTTTTTATTTATTTATTTATTTTATTCAATGTAATTTTTTTAACTTCTTTCTCAATATTTTTAAGTGAATAAAGTGTTTTATACATGAAAAGAATTATTTTTCTTTGTTAAAGAGCGAATAATGGCTGAAAAAAAGTGAAAAGTCGTATCAGGAGGCATGCACACATGACACCCCGTTACTCCCTATAATATTAACCTATAAATTTCGAACTCGGCCTGAAATTCGAGTCTAATGTAACGAGCTATTGTGCCAGAGCAATTTTTTATAGACTAATTACTGGACCCACAATGTTCCAAAATATGTTTTGTTGACTAACCGGGAGGAGGTGCTTTAAGCTAAATATAAGCGGCGCAGGTATGTGAAGTGTGGTGCGGTTGGTAGCGCTGCGGGCAAGAATGATATGTAGTCCCGGAAGTCCTGGGTTCGATATCCTGCAAGGGTCGTTTTTAAATTTTCCTTATTTGTTTTATATTATGTTTTTTAATATACTTTTCGACAATTTAGCGTGAGTGAAGTGTTCTGTATTTAGAAATAACTATTTTTCCGTTATGAAATAGCGAATTATAGCTAATAAACAGATAAATTTTGATTATTTTTTATTTATTTATTTATTTTATTTAATGTAATTTTTTTAACTTCTTTCTCAATATTTTTAAGTGAATAAAGTGTTTTATATATGAAAAGAATTATTTTTCTTTGTTAAAGAGCTAATAATGACTTAAAAAGGACAAAAGTCGTATCAGGAGGCACGCACACATCACACCCCGTTACTCCCTATAATATTAACCTATAAATACATAGGATCCTTTAAAATATCGAGAAACACATTAAATAAGAAATATAATGCAAAATAAATGTAATGTAAAAAAATTTAGAAGTGATTCTAAAGATACATGTATATTTATAACACGTACTTTATTCCTCTATTATAAAAGGAAATTTAAATTAGTGTCTGTAGTATATTAGTTTGCGGTGACGTGTTTTTTTACGTTGAAATAATAAATGGGGTAACGTTTGAAAAAAATAGATGCAAAATATAGGTCTTCGTGTATATCTGGAAAGCACAAAGAAAATTAATATTGACAATACAATTAAGTCCCCTTGTGCCGAACTAATTCATCTATAATTTTGCAGCTTGTCCTCGTGTATACTGAAATAATAAATGGGGTAAATTTAGAAAATTATAGGATTATTTAAAAGCAAAGTATAGGTCAGAATATAATCAAATACAATATATCTAATTAAGTTTCAAAATTACAAGTTAATATTAAGAGAAGATATAATCCATTACGTATATTTATAACCTGTTCTACATTCCTTTATAATAAAGGGAATAATGACTTAGCAGTTAGGCTCTCTTGTGCCGAAACTAATTGGTCTATAATTTTGCGATTTGACCTCAAATTTACTTATACAAAAACAATAAATGGGGCAAAATTTGAAAATTATTGGGAAACATAGTGCAAGATATAGGCTTTTATATATACGGAAAGAACACAAGAAATCCTTAGAAATTTTTCATAGTGTCCGAACGCTTTCTTTAGAAAGGAGAATATTGAGGGAGACAATTTAAAATATTTAAATATTTCATATGGTTTCTTAACGAGAATCAAGTGCTTAACTAGCTTCTTTTCAATTGCTTTATATTGTTAATTACTTCTTACTGTTAAAGCTGGAAATTGGTTAGGACTCTCATTAAATTTCCCTTTTCAGTTTTAATGACCTAATCTCAGAGTGTTTTTTTTTTTTAATTTTTTTTATTAACAACGGGGAAAAAATATTTGCTCAACATTCTCTTTTATATTTATAGTCAAAGAGCAAGGAAAATGTCTTTCGACTAAGATAAATATAAAAAATGGTAAATATTTGCTAAAAATTATTTTTATACATGGAATTATCCTTCGGTGAATAAATTTTATAATTGTGTGCAAAAAATTTTCAATTCACTTAAAAAGTTGTAGAGATATAGCGAAATACGCAAAAAGTGAAATTAAAATTACGGGGTCCAAACTTTGGGGCTGCTCTCCTGGATAGAAATATTGGGATCGTATTTTCGAGATTGCGGCTCCCCCCTATATTTTGAATGTCAGAAATTCGAATCAGTAAAAAAAAGGTATGTTCGTTCAGAGAAAGTGCGTTTTTGTGTCTGATTTCGTAACTTGAACTATCGTCTGCACTAACTAATTAGGGTATTTGAAGTCACCTCCACGAGCCATTTTGATTGAGTCCTAGATCGTGAAGATCCTATCATTACATCAAAAGTTACTCAGGGTGATCCGTTTTTCCTTATATATGCGACAAGTCATTAATATTTTTGAATATTTTTATTTCTTTTTATTTATTGAAATGTTTTTTTTGTACTTAGTTACGAAACATTAAATAAGATTATAATGAGTTTTAAAACTTTAATTTGAATTAACTTTAAGCTTTGAAAAAATTATTTAATATGAAACAATTAAAAATTTGGGGACTATGATGACTAGAATATAGCTCAATGAATAAAATAAAACTAAAAATATTCAAAAATATTTATTAGTTACTTAAATAAAGATATAATATTCATATATAAGCTTGGTTCATGGAGGAAGTAGAATAATTTTTATTGTTTGAAAGTTTCTTTTTATAACCTCTGACATTTGGACAAAAGAGCTTTTCAAAAACAACAAACAAATAAAAATACAGAAAGTTTTATTTAAGAATGATGACTGATAAGAAATATTTTAAAAAATTCCTTTTTCTTAATGCTGTAGACAAAGATTTTGAATTTTCTCAACTTAAAAAAAATCTTTTTTCTTAATTCTATAGACAGAGATGCATGCTTTCAATTAAAAAAAAAAAACTTTTCATTTTGGAAATCTATTTTCTTAATGCTGTACACAGAGATGTCTAATGTTCTCAACTTAAAAACCTCTTTTCTTAATGCTGTAGACAGAGATTTCAAACGTTTTCAATTTAAAAATCTTTTTTTTTTAATGCTGTAGACAGAGATATCTAAGGATCTCAACAAAAAACTGTGCGTTTATTTGAAAGATAAAAACCTATTCGAGAAATAATATTTCTCCAGTTTGAGCACAAAGGTTTAAATTAATCTGCTTTTTCTTGCCAAATATTCAATAAAGGAAGGTCTAGGAACAGGCTCAGCTGCAATTTTGGGTGGATTATTCCTTTTAAATGAATTGAAGTACTTGATGATCCTTTTCTTTGCTGATAACCAAAATGCGAATCCAGAAGTATTGTGATTTGCATTATAAACTCGCATACTTGCATCATAATATTCTCTTTCAGCCAGATACCTAAAAAATAATAAACTCAATAAAAATGGAGTAAACTCATAACCTCAACTTGCTTAAAACAATTATCCTCTATACATGAAGTCCCCCACAACCTTCTATTTATAATTTCAAAATCCTTTTAAAAAATGAAATAAAAAAAGTATGCTAATTATGCGTAAAAAATTTTCTGCTATTGAACTTTAACAAATCACTAGCAAAGAAGGCGGAACCGAAAACATGAAAAGCTGCTTGATTGCTGCTGAACAGCAATTCTTATATACTATTAAACTTCTTGTAATATGTATAATTGGATATAAAAATAATTAAAAAAAGGAGAAGATGGCATAAGTGTCCACGGTTAAGTTTTTACCCAGGATATGTTTTTAAAAAAAATTACAGATTTTTTTTAACAAGCTAATATAACTTTATTGGGAACAAAAACAAACACAAAAACATAAATACAAAGAATATATATTCGTCGTCAAGAGGAAAATCCTGTTAAGGCGACAAAGAAAATTAATACAATAAATTAAAAATAGAAATTTAGAAAAGAAAAAAAAAAGAAAATATTACAATCAAAAATTCTTTTGCTCATCATAAGACATCATATATTGTTGAGCACTGTAATAATAGAAAAAAATACATGAAACTGTATAAAAGAATAACAAACATAACATAAGAAATTCATTTGGATGGACACAAGACTGGTATAAAAAAATCAAATGCTTCCTTTAAAGTAAAAAATAGAGATCTAAATCGTCAATGTTCATCACAAATTGAAATAAAGCAAGCTTAAAAGAAGAATATATTTGGATGTTTTGCAACTGAAATGGTAATTTATTATATAATTTAGGTGTTAAGTAAAAAAACTGTTTTCGTGAAATTTCTTTTGAAAAGTGGGGAATCTCATATATTTCAGTTGGTCTCCTTGAAGACACATTAGTTTTTAATTTGCATATTAATTTATTGTTGTGTAAATAAAGTAAAATACGAAAAAATACATTATGGCGAAATGGTAATAGGTTAATTCTTGTATATATATTGGTAGTAGTTATACTTCAATTATTTATATTTAGAGAATTAATAATCTTGAAGCATTTATTCTGAACTGAGATTAAAGGAAGTAAATTAGTTTTATATTCATCGCCATATATTATTGCACCATAATTAATTAAAGAATAAAACCAGGAGTAATAGAGTGCTTTCACAAAATTAAAATGAATTTTATTCTTAAGATGATAAAATTTAACTCAAACAAAACGCAATTTTTTAACTTAAATTGTAAATATGTGTTTGCCATTTCAAATTAGAATCGATATATAGTCCTAAATATTTGATATTATTTACAGATTGTAGAATATAGCATTGACAATTTTCATTAGTACTTTTGCAGGAGAGAGAGTGAAATTTTAAATTTAAGTTAAATTCTGATTTTCTTAAACTGAAATAAATATATTTAGTTTTATTTAGATTTAAATTTAAGTCATTTATTGTAAACCATTTTGAAATTATGCGTAAATCAGATTCAATTTGAAAAATTAGTTGATTTAAATCAGTGCAAGAATACAAAATTACGGAATCATCAGCATACGTTATTATCTTACCAAAAAGTTTGAGTTGACAAAAGTCATTGATGAATATAATAAACAATAAGGGTCCTAGAATAGATCCTTGAGGAACACCACGGTTTGAAAAAATATAATTACTAAAATTACTTCGGATTTTAACTCTATGTTCTCTGTTTGAAAGATATGAAACAAACCAATTTAACATAATTCCTCTGAAACCAGCAAATTCTAATTTTTTAATTAAAAGATTGTGATTGACATTATCGAAAGCTTTTGATATATCAAGAAATATAGCTACTGTTGTCTTATTTTCGGCAATACTATTATGAATAAATTTTGAAAATTCCAAAAGAGCTTTTTCTGTACTTTTGCCTTTAATAAATCCATGTTGATTAACAGAGAAAAAATTTGTATGTTTTAAATAATTGTACATTTTATCAGCTAGAGCTTTTTCAATGATTTTGGAAAAAACAGGTAATATTGAAATTGGTCTATAGTTTGATAGGCAATTTTTATCGCCGGTTTTAAAAATAGGAGTTATGGTTGCTCTTTTTAAAGAAGTTGGAAATATGGATGACTTGATTGAGGTATTGATGAAATTAGTTATAAAATTTATATTATTGAGAGCAAATAGTTTAATTAATTTTACATTAATACCGTCATAGTCAAAGGAGTTTTTATTAGAAAGAGAATTTATTAAGTGAAGTACTTCACAATCATTCAATTCTAGGAAAACAAACGAGGTTAAACTTGGTGAAATATATATTTGCAAACTGTTTAAATTTGGGTTTGAGGTACTGTAGGCATTTGCAAATGATTTATTGAATTGATCAGAAGATTCATAGTCGTTTAAAATATCAGGTAAAGTAAGTGATTTGCTCTGATTACCAATAATACCATTTACAAGATCCCATTTTTGTTTATTTGAATCACAATTTAAAAATTTGAATTTGAAATATTCTGATTTTGCTGTTTTAATTAAGTTCTTAAGCTCAGAAACTATAGTGTTATATGCTGTTTTGTAAATAATATCCCATGGATATTTTCTAGTTTTTTTGAATAGTTTTTCCTTTCTTCGAATTAAAATCAAGATATTATTAGTCATCCAGTTATTTTTGGCTTTTTTGTTTGATTTATGCTTATATTTAAAATTATTTTTTAAATTATTGAGTTTGAAAACAAAACTTCGATATTGTTGATCAAGAGAATCTTGAGGATTGTAATTAAATTTGTAATTTGACAGATAATTATTGAGCTTATTATAGTTGATTGAAATTTTATTTTCAGCTTCCTTAATTTTATTTACCTCATCGTAATGAACACTGCAAAAGGTTGGATAGTGATCGCTTATGTCATTTATGAATATTCCGGATTTGATTGAAAATTTATTTGTTTTTACGAAGACATGATCAATGCAAGTTGATGAGGAATTTACTCTAGTTGGTTTGTCTATGTAATTTTGAAATCCAAATTGGCATAATAAATTAATATATTCATGAGTAATAAAATCATCACTTAGAATATCAATATTTATATCACCCATCAGTATTATATTAGGATATTTAAGCTTAGAGATTATTACTTTAAGTTCAGTATTAAAAAAATCAACAGTAAAATCATGAGATCTATATAAAGATAGAAATAATAAATCTAAAGATTTGCAATAAAGTAATATAGATTCTGCGGAAACAAAATGTATAGCTAACTCTGAAATATCAAGACATTTTTTAATAAAAACACAAACACCTCCAGAGCGATTATTATTTCTGCAATTAAAGAATGAATTATAACCATCTATTGAGTAAAAATTAGTTTCATTTTGGTAAATCCAAATTTCCGACATAATTATGACACTTATATTTTCAATCATGCTAGAAATATGTGAAATAAAATTATCAAAGTTGGCTCTTAAACTTCTAATATTTATATGTAAAATATTAATGTTTAACTTACAGGTTGAGGTAATAAAAAACTTTAAATCGTCCAAATTTTCAATTTTTAGGCAGTCCGGCACAGATAAAAATGTTTCTTCAGTTGGATGGAGTATTAAGGTCTTGAGATGATTTCACACGTATTATTTTGGACGATTCATCTTTTCTCAGGAATATTTTACCATCACGAACCCAACAAAACTTGAATCCCTTTTCAGATTTAGCCTTACGTGAAAGATAAAATAGATGCTTCAGTTCGGGAGTCAAATGTTCATTGAAGTAAACAGGCATTTCAGTGAATCTGGAGTTGACTTCGCAGGTTGAAAGTTTACGATTTCTCAGTTTCTTTAAGAGCTCATCACGTACAGATTTGGATTTAACTTGAACGATGATGGGTTTAGGTTTATCTTTATTAAAGCTGGGGACTCTGTGAGCGGTGATCAGATTTTCGGATATATTAGTATTCGCAACATTATCAATCTGGGATATTGCTTGTTGTATGTCTTCATTTTCGCATTCGGGAGAGTTATTTATTTCAAAGTTGGATCTTCGGGAATATTGCTTGAGTTCAATAACTGCTTCTATTAGTTCATTCATTTCCTTCTTTATTTCTGCGTTTTCTCTAGTTAGCTGTTCATTCTTTGCTTGTAAAGTTTTGTTTGCATTTTGTAGCTCTGTGATAGAATTTTTCAACTCTTGAATTATTTCACTACTGAATTTAATTGAACGGGTTAAATCATTGAATCTGTTAGTTATTAACTCTTTTAGGTCTTTATTTTGCTGTAATATATCCTCGAGAATGTCTGGGCTAGTTGCACTTTTTATTTTCGTTGGGTTTTCCTGTGTTTTTGAACATTGTACGCAGGTCCACTCTTGTTTTTTATCAACAGTAAGTCTTCTAAAATCTCTTTCAGTGAAACCACCACAATGAAAATGAAAAACAGAATTGCATTCACCTTTGCATGTAAATCCATCCGAGTCTTCCAGAATTGGTTCTGTACATGCTTTGCACAAAATTTTTGACGAAGACATTGTTTGAAGCAATATTTATGTATAGAAAGTTTGCTTACTAAAACGTTAGATTGATATTTTCAAATTTTTAATAATTATAAGTGAAATTAGATTTAAAACAATGGGTGAAATCAAAATATTCAAGGAGCGAGAAAAAACGTGCGCAACAGAGGCTATCAGCTGTTGCCTTTTTCCATTTTTTTTTAAAAAAAAATATCGGATAAAAAAAATGCTGATCTTTTTGCTATTTTTTTACACTTTTTTTACTTTTTAATTCCATAAAATATTAAAGCATAAACTTGTTTTCCAATATGTTCACGGCTAATTGAATATAACCGTTCTTAGCAAATAACTGACATCCTTTCATCATTCAGGTTAATAGGAAAAGTCGCTAGTATTTTTTAATTAGTATGTTACTTGCAAGCCTTATTTCTGTAAGCCCACATAGTATTAAACTAATTTGAAAATATATCATTCATTGTTCAATTAGCCTGATTTATTTTAGGATGTTTGAAACAAGCTCAGAATAGTGAAGACTTATTCATGTAAATAACTTATTAAAGGCTTAAGTCAATAAGCCTAAGCAAATCCAGAGTGATTGAGTAGTACTTCGTACATTTCCGAATTAGAATAAAGGCATGAAGTCTTATTGCAATAAGCCTAAAAATATTAGGCAGTACTGGAAATTCTTCAAATTAACCTGATGCATAACAAAGAGTCGGATTTTTCAATAAACCATTGATGTTTAAATGTACAATATCTACTCATTTTTACGGGTAGAAAACTCGATTATCTTACAACTGAAACTCTTACATGCCATGAGTTTTCATAATATGAAGTTGGTTTTATAATATCATCTTTATTCATCTATTAATTCACCAATCACGTTGTGTGACTGATAATGGATTAACAGCACACACTGTTCTGAGAATTTTTAACTGAAATTCGTAATCTTTATTCATTTATTAATCAGTCAAGCACGTTCTGTAACGAATAATGAATTAGCAGCACACATGGTACTATGAACTTTTATACTGAAATACTTCATGTTTATTCATCGATTAACAACCAAGCAGGCTCTGAGACTGGTAGTGGATTAACAGCATACAGTGTTGCAGAACTTTAAAGTTATTTGCGTTTATATTTAGAAGAAGTTGCGTTTTCTGCTTGTTAAATACTGTATACTTTGCTTTTTTTAGACTCCAGACTATAGCATAAGAAGACCAATTTTATACTTACTGCTGAGGAGGCCATCTGTTCTTTTGCAAATACATTTGATAATCATAATCAAGTCTTTGCAAAAGCGCATGTAGTTCAATATTCTTGTAGTTTATGATGATGTAATACTGACACCATTCAAAGAGTTGGTCTGCATTATGAAGCTAAATAAAAAAAATTTAAAATCAAATTTCTAATTTTTATAATATTTATTTGGGATTAGAGTCAAGGTTTTGCATTGTTTTCACTTCCTTTCCTTCTAATATGACATTTAGAGCGTTTTGTAATTGCCTCCCTCTATGCATGTCTTTAGAGTCCTTGTCAAAAACGGAAGTCAAAATTTTTTTGGTTTAAAATTAGTAGTTAAGTGAGAAAGAGCAGAAAAGTTTCTAAAATCGAATGAATCACTAATGCAAAAAAACGGGATAAAAATATCAAAACCAGTTTGATTGCTAGAAAAAATTTAAAGTGTTTCAGTTTTTTCCAGCAGTGAAAGAGGGCCTGATTCTTTATTACTTATTCAGATTTTGATAAAGTTTTGGAGATTAATTTGTGATCTCCAATGCGTGTACTTTTTGTCTTCAATTTTTACAAAGATTCTAAAAGTATTTGTATAAAGGGTGGTATTTTAAGAACTTACTGTATATATTTGATTTAAAAGAGATAATCATTATATCATGCTTTTACAAGTCATATAATTTTAACAGAATGAGTCACAGTGGCTCAGGGGACTGAGAGATCGCCTTCCGATGAGGTGACCCTGATTCGAATCCCATCGGTGACTGTCTGATACAAATTGTGCTCCCGGCTTACACCGACCACAGTGCTGCAGTAGTAGATGTTTCATGGATTAGAATTTCCTTGACATCGGGCTGACCATGAGAGGTTTTCTTCTATATGCTACGCAAATGCGGTATAGTTGCCTCAAATAGTCCTCAACGAAAGCTAGTTTGCTCCAATGCTTATACAGAAGTTTGTGTCTTCTGGGTTGGATTTAAAATTATAAGGCTACGAAGTAGAAGATTGATAATAGTAAGCTCAGAATGTGGTCGGCTGTTTAAAGACGGTCATAAAATAAAATATAAAACAACAGGTTGAAAGAGAGCCATGTTGGCTCTGAGTATAGAGCTCTTGCCTCTCAATTAGGTGACCCAGGTTCATATCCCAGCGATGCCTAGACAATTGAAATTCTGTTTCGGCCTCGTACTGACCACAGTATTGACGTAAAATATCCTCTTGGTTGACGGATTATGGGTCATAATCCCCTTGCCATCGGAATAACGGTGTTATGTTTTCGTAGTTTTCCTGCCCATGTAACGCGAATGCGGGTAATTCTTTAAAAAGTTCATCATGGAGGGTAGTTTGTTTTAAATATTTGATCAAGGAATTTCTCTGTCTTCTGGGTTGGGTTAAAAATTACAAAACTACGGAGCTGAACATTGATAGTCATAACCCAAAAATGGGTTGGTTGTTCAACGACGGTTATTAAAAAAAATTAGTTGAGAAGAAGAAAAGTGATACTTTAATGATTTTGAGAAAGACAGCTTTAACACACTTTAAAGTTGTTAAAATTTTTAATTATTATTTTTAAAAATCGCCCAATTTCAAGGCTTACAGCAGACATCATGATATATATTTGCTGTTAAACCTAGAAAATGTGTGGTTTTCAAATGTCATTTAACACAATCAGCTGCGAGCCATTTCAATTTTTTAAAACTTTTTGCGTACTGCTTCATGGTTAAAATTGAAAAGTGATTCTACTAAAAGCTAATTTAACACATTAATTAGTTTTAAATAGACATATTTTACTTACATTTAAATTCAATCATTTTAATAAATTATTATTATTTTAAATTATACAAACTTACAGTTTCAGGTATTACAAAGTAAATAAACTTTTTAACTGAAAGTTAAAACAATTTTTAAACTATCTTTCAAATTCTTATAACGTTTAACCAATTGAAATGCTGAATTCCTCAAAGGAAAATAATGATAACCCTCATTTTTAAATGTTCAAGAAATCATTTTCTAGGAGCGTTTTTGGTGCAAAAAAAATAATTTTCATATAGGCAGTAAGATATTTGTGTGTGTTGAGGTGCTCTTTAGTGTATACATCAATTGCTGGTAAAATACCTATCGGGAACCAATATTAAGGATCAGTTTGATGAAAAAGTTACTTTCGGAAAAAATGTGTCTTATCACTATACTACACAAAGCTCTACTATTTTATTCCTTATGTGAATTTGATAGAAGCGAATTCCTTCGTAATATATCTTAGACCAATGGCATGAGCAGGAAATGTATTTTTAGTCCAAACATTATTATTTATTGTTCTGCATTTCCATGAAAGCAGCATTTATATTTTTAGCAACTATTAAAGATTTTTAGTTTCTTTTTAAGATCTTTTATTACTCATTTACTACCCTAGATTGTACTAAATATATTCTTACTTGGCATACTTCCAAGAACTGAAAGACATATTCAATAATGTCACCATCCTTTGCATTCATCAATTTGAGTTCCTTAATGATATGTTTTTCTACCAGTGATATAAGATGAGGCAGGCACAGCCTATTTGCCAGTTCGATAACTGCAGCACCATTTTGAACTGTGAGGCTTTTATCATCAATCTTATCCGTGTATAGATATTGCAAACATATGTCAAATGTGGACTTAGTAGCTCCTGGAAATGGAATCTAATAGGAAATACAATTTATTATTAAGGGATGAAATACACTCTATAACAAAAAAATCGACGCACCAAGAAGCAATCATCCGATTGCTTTGAAATTTCGTATGCATGAATCTTTTGAACAGATATGGCTGGAATGATGCCGACTGGGGACGTATTAGCGACGAATCCCACTTCCAATTGTGTCCTGACGATCATCGAAGGCGTGTTTGGAGACGCACAGGGCAGAGGGGAGATCCTGCCTTCACTATTGCCCGCCACACTGGCCCTCAACAAGGCATTATGGTCTGGGGTACTTTCCTTTGAACGCTGAATCCCTTTGGTCGTCATTAAAGGTACACTTACTGCACAGCGGTACGTCGACGACATCCTAAGACCTGTTTTGCTACCGTTCCTTTTGCAGCGCCCCGAGGTTGGTTTTTCAGCAGGACAATGCCAGACCACATACGGCACGTGTTGCTATGAACTGTCTGCAAGCTTGTCAAACTCTTCCTTGGCCTGCCAGATCACCAGATCTCTCTCCCATCGAGCATGTCTGGGATATGATGGGAAGGCGATTGCATCTGGCACGGAATGTTGATGACCTCGTTCGACAATTGGATCGAATTTGGCAGGAAATACCGCAAGAGACCATCCGGGAGCTTTATCGGTCTATGCCACGCCGTGTGGCAGCTTGTATCCTGGCTAGAGGCGGATCAACATCGTATTGAATTTATTACTGTAACTCTGAAATAAATTATTCAATTGTTCTGAAATTTCAATCATTTACTATTCTGTACATTGTCTTCCTATCCACCATTTTTCGTATCAATCGGACAACTCCTTCTTGGTGCGTCGATTTTTTTGTTATAGAGTGTATATTGCAATTGAAAATGTAGACAATATTGGTTAAGCCTAATTTCACTCACGCATTGACTTCAATATTAAATACTGGTTATAGGAAATTGGAATTTTTCTTATTGCTTTAAAAAGTATACGGTGCTGGTTTATGTATGAAATATTATATCAATTGTAAATGTCGCATGTGCACGCTATTCTTGACCACCATTACCGTTTTATATGAATCCCAGAAAGCACGTAACCTTACGGCAACCTTGTGTCAATATTTTCTTTTTATTGCCATGAAAATGTTTGTACTAAAAACCTTTATTTAATAAAGCAAAAATATTGCAGTTTAAAATCTTTCATCCTAAAAGGATTAAAAATTATTTTTAACGCTTTTTTTAAAAAGTATTGTCACTTAGGGAAAATGGTCACTTAGAGGCGTAATGACGTTTAACCTGACGTCACACTAGCGATAGGATCAAATTGCATTGTTCATTAAAATTCAAAGACAAGGTGGATTCTAGCTGAGCATACAAGACTTTGCGAAAAGAAACCTTATAATTACCTAGATTTAAGATTATTTTCTCCTTGAGACTAGATTTATTAAAGGTTTTTTTCACTCTTGAAAACCTTAAGTCAATCTCGATTTAAAGTTTTTAAATAGAAGGTTGTTTTCCAAGGTTTTGGATTAGAGTAATGTGCGTAGAATAGATCAGATTGTAACAGATCTCGTTTTAAGGTTAGAAGGTTTGCACGTGAACCATATAACAAACCTTCTTAGGTTTACAGTACAAGGTTTTTGATGAGTTAAAATAAACCTTATTTTGCTATCTAGGATGGGACTGAATTCCGTTGATAGGATGATAGGGTAAACGATCATTTTACATGAACGTAACTGAGGCTCGTTGACAGGGCTTTCAATTTTATTCTTCGAAACGTGGGTTTGTTGGTATAAATGAAACTTCGAAAAATTCCAAAGAAAAAGTCTAGCAGTGGGAAATTGCTGAGTGGCTAACTCAGGTTACCCAAACAGTAAATTACAAGGGCAAGAAAGGGCACAACAAAGCTCAAAATCTCAACAAAGAAATCGCTCTTTCATCTAGCGTTCAACTTTTAATGATCCTAAACTAACACCTGTCACATTTTTGGCAACATTGTAAAGCACAAATGGCGAAAATTTCAATTAGGAGTTCAATATAACTTGAATATTTCGAAAATTTATTTGAATTTTATTTGAAACACTCTATGAGCTAATTACAGTCTAGATTTGTTGCTTTTCTTTTTTGCTCACTTAGAAATTAGGTAAGTATTATGTACGGAGAGCGAAGTTAGTAAAAACAAATTAATATGGTTAAATGATAATACTTGGTGAAAATTACTTTTTCAGTTGAACTTTCCTTGAAATCACCTCCAAACATTGCAGTCATAACGTCACAGCGCGCCATTAAAACTGATCGATGAGCATAGCATTCACCATCATCGACAATGAAAATAACGTCTGTAAATAAAATAAAATAAAATAATTATTCATCTAACCACACGATAAAATATTCTCTTCAAATCATGCAACGAAAAGCAAATTATAGTTATCGTGACTAATTAGAAATAACACTTAATTCCACATCTATTTGAATAGCATGCTTTCAAAATTTAGAAAATGCTTACAAAATCTAATTTAAATGAAATTGGGGGATTTGCTACGATATTTGAATAAGTTTGAGCCCCCTATATGAATGTGAACTAATTTTAACTAAATACTGCAGAAATTCATTTATTTCTGTACCATTATTTCTTTGTTTATAGCTGCTAAGCCACTTAGTGGATTTAAGCAGTTCGTGCACAAAATTCTGCAAGACTTTCGCAATTATGGACATCTATTGAGTCTGCATTGCTGAATATCCTTGCAAGAGACTACTTATTGAGTCCATGCCACTTCGAGTTGATGCATTTCGTAGGTTCGACACGATATTAAGATGACTTTTGACACATCAACGTATATTCTATTGGAATATATGACGACAATAAAGCTTAAAAGTAGTTGACTGGTATAAGTTAAGTTATTGATTCATTATTATTTTAACAATTTTAACAAACCTTGGAGTATGATCTGGGTATTGATATGGATTAAAATTAGTTATTTAAAACTGGAGCTAATAAGAGCTAAAACTATAGCTTGATGAGCTGAAACTGTACCTGTATAGAGGTGTTCTACTAAGCATATTTGCTTTAGGCTTTCCTTGAAATGATACTGATAACTTTCTTGAATGTTGTTCTTGAGTTTGCCTTCATGCTCTTCAATGTCATAGATTAGATCCTGAATAAATAGAATGTTGATTTAGAGAGCGGCCATCACAAGTGATTAATATTTTTATTTTATTATTAATTGGTAAGAAAGTGTAGTGCTAAAAGTAGATCATTAGTAAAAAGATTTTCACTCATAAAATAACATAAAACAGAAGTCAAACATTCAAAATCTCTGAAAAATGGAAAAAATAAAGACGCTTAAACGACAGAACTAATTGTTTTTACAGGGGTTTAGTCTCTATAGTAAGGGTCTTCAACCTCTTTCACCAAAGGGCGACAGCAATAGATTCTAAAAATTTCACGGGTCACACATCTTCTATATGATATAATTCAGTTATAGAGATTTATAAACAAGAGGATAATTAAGTGCAGGTAACGTATTTTTTAATCTCTATGGTGCTCATGTTTTGTTAAAATCTGGAATGAAATTAAAGTAGAGTCAATAAATTTTTTGCAGTTTCGTTATTTTCTTTATTATTGCATTTATTCTCTATGGTAAAGGTCTTCAACCTTTTTCGCCAGAGAGCCACAGCAATAGATTCTAAGAATCTCGTGGGTCACACATCTTCTGTATAATATAATTATAGTTATAGAGATTTATAAGTAGGAGGATAATTAAGCGCAGGTTACTAATTTTTTCATCTCTATGGCACTCGAGTTTTGTTGAAATTTGGAATGAAATTAAAGTAGAATCAATATATTTTATGTAGTTTTGTTATTTCCTTTATTATTCCCGATCATGTGAAATAGCTATTGTTGTAATTTTATCCTCCAAAATATGTCAAGACTTGCTTTCGATATTGTGTTCTTTGATCAATGGTTTGTTGGTGATATCTCACCCAATAAATAGATCTATGTCAGTCATGAATTTTACACTGCATCTCTTATCTTTTACTTTTTTCTTTTAACTGTCGTTGATCAGCCAACATAATTTTTGGGCTTACGAATACTAATGTTCAACTACGTAGCCTTGTAATTTTGAATCTAACCCAGAAGACAAGGGAACTCATGTATCAAGTATTAGGAGAAATTTGCCTTCGTGGAGGACTTTTTGATGGTTCTAACTCGCATTTGTGTTACATGGAGAGGAAGACCACAGCCTCCAACTGTTAGCCTGACGGCAAAGGGTTCTAACCCATGATCCATCTACCACTGAGGATATTTCCCGTCAGCACTGTGGTCGGTGCAAGCCGGATGCGGAATTCATATCGACCAGCCTATGCCGGGATTCAAACCTGGTTCACCTCTCTAGAAGGCAAACGCTCTATCCCATGAACCATGATGGTTCTTACACTGCAGCTGAAATAAATATCATTTTCATATCAAACAGCTAATTTAAAAGATATGATAGGCTTATAGAACATCAAATAGCTACGCATTGAAAACTAACATTTTATTCTAACAAAGACTGACAGAATGAAAAGTTAATTCAAGAAAAATAGAAGGAGATAGAATTGTGCGATTTGCTACGTTCTGTTTAGGAAACTAAATAAATTTCTTTATTCTCAAAACCTGATATTAAAAGTAATTAATTCGTTAACAAATTTCTCTGATAAGTGAAAAATATAATCGAATCATGACTTCAAAATAACCATCATTTTCAACAAGGTGGTGCAGTTTAAGGACAAGATAAATCAAGTCTAAGGAATGGTCTGATTTACGAGCAGAAAACATCGTTTTGTTGCATTTCACCCTTTGTTAAAAGATTAAAATTTATAGCACCTTTTTTCGGCGAATTTAGTAATTAACTTTTAAATTTTGTCTGAATAAATAAACTNATATATTTGATGTAGTTTTGTTATTTTCTTTATTATTGCAAACTGAATGCGTAATTTAACATAGTGTGTATTTAACTGTAGCAACGATATCACTCGATCATGTGAAATAGCTATTATTGTAATTTTATCCTCCAAAATATGTCAAGACTTGCTTTCGATATTGTGTTCTTTGATCAATGGTTTGTTGGTGATATCTCACCCAATAAATAGATCTATGTTAGTCATGAATTTTACGCTGCATCTTTTATCTTTTACTTTTTTTCTTTTAACTGTCGTTTATCAGCCAACTTAATTTTTGGGTTTACGACTACTAATGTTCAGCTACGTAACCTTGTAATTTTGAATCTAACCCAGAAGACAAGGGAACTCATAGATCAAGTATTAGGAGAAATTTGCCTTCGTGGAGGACTTTTTGATGGAGCTAACTCGCATTTGTGTTACATGGAGAGGAATACCACGAGAGCCTCCAACTGTTAACCTGATGGCAAGAGGTTCTAACCCATGATCCATCTACCACTGAGGGTATTTCACATCAGCACTGTGGTCGGTGCAAACCGGATGCGGAATTCATATCAACCAGCCAATGCCGGGATTCAAACCTGGGTCACCTCTCTAGAAGGCAAACGTTCTATCCCATGAACCATGACGGTTCTTACACTGCAGCTGAAATAAATGTCATTTTCATATCAAACAGCTAATTTAAAAGATATGGTAGGCTTGTAGAACAGCAAATAGCTACGCATTGAAGACTAACATTTTATTCTAACAAAGACTGACAGTATGAAAAGTTAATTCAAGAAAAATAGAAGGGGATAGAATTGTGCGATTTGCTACGTTCTGTTTAGGAAACTAAATAAATTTCTTCATTCTCAAAACCTGATATTAAAAGTACTTAATTCGTTAACAAATTTCTCTGATAAGTGAAAAATATAATCGAATCATGTCTTCAAAATAACCATCATTTTCAACAACGTGGTGCAGTTTAAGGACAAGAGAAATCAAAAGTCTAAGGAATGGTCTGATTTACGAGCAGAAAACATCGTTTTGTTGCATTTCACCCTTTGTTAAAAGATTAAAATTTATAGCACCTTTTCTCGGCGAATTTAGTAATTAACTTTTAAATTTTGTCTGAATAAATAAACTGGTTTCTGAAGTTGTGCTCTCGTTTTCTAACGTATTATAAATTTCAATCTCCAGTCTTAATTTAATTGATTTTTCAAATTGAACCTTAAACATAATTTTTTAAGTTCAAAATTTTAAGTTTTGGATCTTTTATTTTTAGAGCAATTTGTACCATAATAGAAATTTTAAAAAAATAGTGCGTGGAGTCCCTCCGCGTGGAAGAAGTGAAACTTCGTAATGTGGAAATGAAAATAGGAAGGGGTAGAAATTGATTTTTAGTGAAATCATGTTGTTTCTTTAAGACAAACTTTATTAACATTGCTTACAATTCACAATTGATCGCATCTTTTAATTATCATTTTCGAGTGGAGAAATATCCAAATCTATAACATTTACAATGGGATTATGATAACTAAAGTAAGATACGAAATGTTTGAGTTCTATTTTTTCAATATTTCTTGCAAAAACTGCATCAATGGTAGTTCCCCCTTTGGTTGTTGAATCATTTCTACCATTTATCACTTCCAATCCAAATTTGTCTTTAAGGAAGGTTAATAATGTTTCAGCTTCAGGTAACGAGAAATTCACATTAAAATCTCCTGCAAGGATCACAGGCCGTTCGTGCCATGGTAGCGTTAAGCGTTTAACGCAACCTTGTTGTAAGTCGCATTAGAAGTTTCACTTCAAAAAAATACAGTTGAATGTAAAAAGTTAACTACCTCTAAGATATCAATCTGAGTTAAAGTTGCAGCCTCTTTGATATCACCCAGGGCTACATCAGGTAGAGCATCTAATTCTCCACAGTATACAAATCTGGAAAGTTTAAAAATTCATTTCAATTTGAATTGATGTTTCCGCAATAAAAAAGTTTTAAAAAGCTAGAAAACGGTTTAAATAGATACCTGAGATAGATTTGAAAAGATTGAAGTGTCACAAACTGAAGATCTTCTAAGTTTACCTGTCAGAAAAAAATATGCATATAAAATAAGACCCGATATTTAAAAAAACTCTAATACAAACTACATTGCAAAACCGTTTAAACGAAATGATTCTAACTAATCTTCAAAAAATTTATAAAAAATCAGCTGCCAATTCTTTTTAATGCATTAGTTTTAAGGTTTTGGATTCGGATGTAAGTGTGTGCTTTGGAAGTTGGAATAAAAATGTAAAATGGTTTTAAAGAGCACTCCGATTTGTTCAATTTTGAATTTTCCTATGTAAAATTACATTCTTTAAAATGATAAAAAGAAGCTGTATACCTGACATTTGAAAGTTTTTTCGACTGCTATAAAAGAAAATAATAAAAAAATAATAAATGTTTTTCAAAAGTTATTTTTTTCATAGAATTATCTTTTGATAGGCAAATTTTATGATTATGCCCAAAAATGTTTCAATTCGCTGAAAAAGTTCACGAGATATTGCTAAATGCGCAAAAAATAAAATTAACAGTAAGGGTCCAAGTTTTGGATCGGTCTCACGACCAAAATATTGGGACCATATTACCCAGATTGCGACTATATTTTGGGAGACGAAAATCCGAATCCGTCGAAAAAAGGGAATAATAATTTACGCTGTTGAGAAAATAACGTCTTTGTGTTTTATTTCGTAGTTTAAAATATATTCTGCATTAATTAATTAGCATATTTGAAGTTAACCGTTCGAAATATTTAGATTGAGTCATAGAACTTGAAGATCCGATCACTAGATCAAAAGTTAATCACAGCCTTTTTTTTGTGCACTGTGCCTGAGAAAATATTTTTGCTTTGTTATATTTAGAAATATTTTTGTTTTGGTATCTGTGCAAAAATGATTGTCAAGTTTTGGTAACTCTGGAGCAGCCGCATGCAAAAAACTAAAAAAGAAAAGAAAAGAAAGAAATAAAAAAAAATCGAATAGGGCAAAGATAAAACTATTAGTAACCCCCGGGTAAGGAAATATATAATTTTATTTAATTTATTACTTGTTTAACAGTTTTATTTGGCTCCTTGTTCATTTATTTCGCGCAAACTAGTATTGATACAGAAATATCTCTTCATTTTTAATTTACAATTGGTCTGCCTGCCTTTAAACTATAAAAATTACTTTAACAATTTTGTATCATAACGCTCAATTCACTGTGTTTCCGACAAAAATGACAATAATCATTTTGCTTTATTCGTTTGATTGTGAACTGCAAAACATTTCGGCTCACATTACGATAAAAAGTACCGGCAATCAAGTCGCCGATACTTTTTACCGTGAAATCGATTTTTAACGGAACATTTTATGGAACAAAAAATAATATATTCCGTAATTCTTACAATAATAATCAGCGTGAAATCACTGAACCACTCGAATTAAATAAATATTACTGCAGAAACTATGGTTTTATATTTTACAGTAAAAATGGATTTTAAGGATAAAGTGGATTTTACGAATGATGTATCCAAAGTGCTGGTACTTTATACCGTAATTTGATTCGGAATTTTTTACAGTGTTTACCCAAACTACACATTTCGTGATGCTGCATCTTGGAATAAAAAACTTATTTTTTTCGCTGCACACTCCTTGTTAACACATTAACCGTTTGAGTGCGGCAAAGAGCTATCGCGCTTCGCTTGTTATGGGTCAGAAATGCGGAGAAGCGCGCTTGTTTTGTACCGAAAATGCGGAGACGCTGCTACTGATTAGCATAAATTTCGTAATTAACATAACAATTAGTGTTTATAAACATAATAATTAGTGTTAATTATAAGCATTTCTATTGTTCTCCAAAAAAAATTACTACACATTTCATTCCGCACTATTAGCATATACGTATATAAGAAAACTCTTCAGCACTCAAACGGTTAAGGGCAACCGTTTTCATGAACTTTCTTTAAGAAGGTCATGGCTCAATTATTTCATTCTTGATAGTTGTCTTGGAAAACATTATTTTATCACCATATTTATTAAATACATAAATATTTTTATTTTGTTCCAAGAATAGGCCATTGTGATATTTATAAAACTAAATTGGTGGATTACAGTATAAAACACCGAATTAGTGTAAACATAAACTGCCTTTCTTTCATGCGGTGCTTTTTAATTTAAAACGAAATATTGTATTTTCGCAACAGTTGTCTTAAATGGGTGAAACAAGTGAGCATGTGTTACGCACCTTTAGACAATCAATTTCAGATGAAATAAATATATCCTTGAAAAATGATGATGCAGCGGCCAAAATGATCTTATGTGTCCGAAATACCGCTCCTGCAGCTTCTAAGTTAACATCTGAAGCAAATCCTTTGTCCAGCAAAGAACCCATTTCGATTTTGTAAGAAGACGCCAAAGCTTTAACCTCTGGTTCTTTAGGCATTGGAGGAAGGTAAGGCATCTAGTAAATGTAAAATAAATATGTATTTTATTAAGTTCAATAAGAGACGAATTTTCTTTTATTGTAGCAAGAGAGGACACAACCCAGAATTTCAATATCAAATTCAATATCAATTCAATTCAAATATCTAGTTTATATATTTTGCTTTTTCTTAAAGCTCAAATACAAAAATCAAGAAAATAAAATTTTAATACTTATGAAAATTAAAAAATCTATGATACATTATAGAAAATGCATATTCTCAGTAAAGCAGAATCAAACGGATCAATCAAACGGATCAACGGATCAATCAAACGGATTTTCAAATCAAACGGATATTTTCAGAGTTATCGATTAGAAGGTTATCAAAATTATTATTATTTTTGTTGTTAAAAAAAATACGATGGAAATTTGTAGATTAGTATGTGCTGCATGTTACATAAATCTGCATAACTTTTCTAAATATTCGAACTTGACAAAATAATTTTAGCATATAATTTAATTCGAAAAATGCAAAATAAGATTTAAAAAAAACTTTCAGAAAAGATCAAAAGGAAGAAAAACAAAGAAAACAATTTCAGAAAAATAAAAAAAAAGATGAAAAAACTCCGAAAATGCAAAAAAAAAAAAATAATAATAAATAAATAAATAAAATAAAATAAAAAAGCTTTTAGAAAATTCGTTTAATTCAATTAGAATTTTTTTCGTGAACAAGAAATAGAAATCTTCAAGAAAAGTAAAAAGAAAGAAATTTTATAATATGCAGGAGGAAAAAAAAGAGAGAAGCTTTAAGAAAATGAAAAAAAAAGTGTTTTTCAAAAAATTCAAAAAATAAGAAAAAAAAATCTGAAGCTACAAAATAAATTAAAAGAGCTTTCGGAAAATCATTTTAATTCGATTAGTTTTCATCTGCATAAAAAAATTTTTTTTATGCAATCGAGGAAGGGAAAAAAAAATCTTCAAGCAAAGCAGAAAAAAAAATCATACTATGCAAAAGGAAAAAGAGAAAGAGTTTTCAAAAAACTAAAAGAAAAGGAGAAAGAGAGAGAGTTTTCAAAAAACTAAAAGAAAAGGAAAAAGAGAGTTTTCAAAAAACTAAAAGAAAAGGAAAAAGAGAAGGAGTTTTCAAAAAACTAAAAGAAAAGGGAAGAAAGCTTTATGAGAATGAAAAAAAATCCGAAATTGGAAAATTCAAATTTTTGATTTTCTTTCTTCAAAAATTCAAGGTGTTGTCTCGAATTTTTCAGCAAAGGGTATGGAGTATCCTTACCTGAGGAGCAGGCAGCATGACATTTTTCAGATTCTTCGCCCAGAATCTTTTCAGCCGACGAGCTCTGAGGGCCTGCCTCATAGCATTTTCAAATACATTATCAATACCATAGTGTGTATACACACTAACCTCGTAGTAAACGGCACCAAGTTCAGCTGCCAAATTACGTCCTTGCTCTCGAGTTATAAGTTCAGCTTCTTCAACAAGTCTGAAATAATTCAAAAGCTGTATTAAATAAAAATATATTTTTATAAAAACAATTTTTATTTTGGAAATTATGTGAAGTGCTTGGTTTTAAAACCAGTTTTTCTACTTTAATAAAACTAATTTTTTTAAGCACCTTAAGAGCCCATTGTTTATTCTTTGCTTTCTTGAGAATAAAATCAAGTTATATCCTAATTTAAAATATTTCAATAACTTCAATTATATTTTATTTAATCTAAATTTCTATGACTTTTAAAAAAAATTTAAAATCAAAATACCGTTTTCGGTGAATATTCTTCTTTTTTTTCCCAATAAACTTTCATTATTATCATTCGAAGTCATAACCGATGTTATAAAATTTAAAAACAGTTATTAAGGCAAAATTACTAGAAGAAACTCAATTCAACAAGTTTTAGTAAAAATATGCTCCTTTATTATTTTCCTAAAAAATTACACGTAGAACCAATTTTTATTAAAATTAAAAAAAAAAAAAGCATAAATGCAAAATAACTTTAAAAACGCTAAGAAAACGTTTTTTCAAACATTCATTATTTTTTGAGGAAATAAAAGAAGTGGGTTTCTTGCACTAAAAATAAAAATATATTAGACATTAATCTTTGAAATATTTCATGTTATTAAAGTGCTAACTGCAATTCACAGTTGCCACGCACAGGGCCGGATTAAGAACCTAAGAGGCCCTAAGCGCTTAAAAATTTTTGATGTTCCTTAAATGTAATTAAAAACATCAATACGAATATAAAATCTTTTTCTTAAATAAGTAAATTGAAGAAAAAAATAATAAATTTATATCACCGTCAAATTTAAAGCTTCTTGCCGAGAATCTGATGGAAATCAAAATTTTTAAATTAATTCTTTGAAGGGTTATTACTTGTGTTGGTCATTATTAGCAAAAGATAATTTAGAAGCGACGCAGTGATTTCGAATCGTTACATAAAAAATTGTACAACAAACGCTGCTTGAGAATCTGGACATTTGCATTGAAGTTGCCATTAGAGTATTGTTCTTTTGCCAAATGTTACGAAGTATAAAGTAAGCAAGTTCAATTTTCTTTTTTTTTCTTTCTGATCTCCTTCTTTAAATTGTTCAACCTGTATTCCTTTATTGTTTAATTAGAATTACATACATTTGCAGGCATATTTGCTCAATTATAAACCTTTGTCAAGTAGAAGAAGAGATAGAACAATTTAGAGAAGGGCATAACAAAGAATACATCCAGGGTTACGGTGGAATTCGAACTCGCCACCGCTACGCTTTGCACAACGTTTCATTGGAGATAACGCTCGGCAAGGGAGGCGCCAACCTGCATTCCATTTTATAGAAGTAGCAAGAGGGTGTACGCTCGTTGCTTTAATCCTACCATCAAAACTAATTTTACAAGAAACAATAAACTTCTTAAAGTCATTCTTAATAATTTAGATTTATTGCTATACTAAGAAGTTAATGAAATCTTACAAATCTTACTTAAATTAAAATATTCGATGTGATTCTTTATTCTTCAAAGCAAATATATACTTAGAATAACTGTCCCACAGCGGACTGATCGTTAAGACCCGGTTCCCTGCAGATCACGGAAGTCAAGCATCACCGGCTGCGGTCAGTGTGCGGGTGGGTGACCACTTGGATCAGTCTGCGTAAGGACAAATGGGTGTGCGGTATTGGTCCTCGTTAAATTGTTCTACCGTAAAGTGCTAGACTTCACGTGTAGGTCGGCGGGCTACCGAAGCAGGGGTATCACCCCTCTGTAAAGGATCAAAATAGTGAAGGCATGTCTTCGGATCATCCTCGGGGATGTTTCTCAGACCGTCGCCAATAGCCCACTGCGCAGCTCTAGTGCGTCGTAAATGAACTACAACAGCAGCAACAAAATTATGATCATTAATTTAGATTTTTGGAAGAATTCCGTATTTTTGCTATCTCGATTTGTTTTTCTGTTTTCAACAAACACTTGATGATAGATTGCGATTTGATACCATGAAACTTCTAAATATAAAAAGACGCTGATCGGGAGAAAAGGTAATTGATAATTTTTAGAATTTGAGGACTTTTTTTCCTCAAAGTTTTTCAGCAATAAGGCTATAAGGTTAGTAATATTGGTTAGGCAACTTAACATTTGTCAGCTGTCCATTATTATTTATACCGACGAAAATCGATTTTCGGATTATGCTGATAATCCTTCTGACCTGTTTTAGGCAGAACCTTTATAGTTAATTTAGTCCTTGTAAGTACACTATTTTCGTTTTTTAGCGATCCCGCAGTTTACTGATCGCAAAGACATGGCTACCAGTAGAACACCTAAGTCAAGCATCACTGACTGCGGTCATTTAGAGGGTGGGTGACCACATTGATAAGCCGGGGGTGTGCAGTACTGGTCCTTGTTAAATTGTTCTATCGTGAAGTGCTCGAATTCACGAGCAGGTCGTCGGGCTACCAATGCAGGGAAGCCATCCCCTCTGCAGAGCATAAAAATTGCGAGGCATGTCTTCGGTTTATTCTCAAGGATGTTTCCCAGAACGTCGCCAATAGCCCATCGTGCAGCTCTAGTGTCGACGTAAATAAAATACTTACCTACCGTTTTTGAGTGTTGACATGATTTAGCAAGTCAGGGGTGCAAATCTACCAACGATTTCAGTTTGTCACCCAACAGCAAAGTCACTAAATTCTATGGCTAATAAAATAGTTATTCTAAAAAAAATTTCTGCCTTGAATATATAAAAAATTCCAGCGAATATTTTAATATAAGTAAGATTTGAAGCATTTCATTAACTTCTTAATACAGCAATACTAATGATGTCTTAGCATCTGGGCATTTTCCTTTTTTATGATACGAAGACAAATCAGACGCATTCGTAAACTACACTTTTTTGGTGCTTAGCTCACAGTTGTCGAATTGATCTTGAGCACTAATTGATCTTGAGCCTTAGTTCCTGCTTCATCACGGCGGAGAAGGTCGCAGGATCGAGCCCCGAAGTTTCAACCGAATTCCAACACTTACAAATATGCAAGTAACCGAGTGATCCGCATAAAAACTTTATTTTGAAATATAAAAAATTACACCGCAGTGTCATGTTGTGTTTCTATGTCTTATAATTAAACAGTCATGTACTACTTATAAATATTCATTGTACTTATTGGGTGAATTTGGATTATAAACGTGTGATCATCTTTATTGTAGTTTGGTGTTTCAGCTTCCAGACTTTTTCAGTCCCAGAATTTTCTGCGGTTAAACTTTAATGCGATACGACTTTTCATTATATAAATTTAAGTTATTAAGAATGACTTTAGGCAGTTTATTAATTCTTGTAAAATTACTTTTCATGGTAGGATTAAAGTAGTAACGAGAGTACATCTTCTTGCTACTTCTATAAATTGGAATACAGGTTGAACAATTTAAATAAGTAGATCAGAATAGAAAAGAAAATTGAACTTGCTCTCTCTATACTTCGGATCAATTGGCAAAAGAACAATACTTTGATGGCAACTTCAATGCAAATATCCAAATTCTTAAGCAACGTTTGTTGTAAAATTTTTTATGTTACGATTCGAATTCTGAACGACTGCATAGCTTCTGAATTAGTCCCGCAGTGGACTGATCGATAAGACACGGTTCCCAGCAGATCACCGAAGTCAAGCATCACTGGCTGCGGTCAGTGTGCGGGTGGGTGACCACTTGGATCAGTCTGCATAGGGACCGAGGGTGTGCGGTATTGGTCCTCGTTAAACTGTGCTACCGTAAAGTGCTCGACTTCGCGCGCAGGTCGTCGGGCTACCGAAGCGGGGGTGCCATCCCCTCCGCAGAGGAACAAAATTGTGATGGCATGTCTTCGGATCATCCTCCGGGGTGTTCCCCAGACCGTCGCCAATAGCCCATTGTGCAGCTCTAGTGCGACGTAAATTAACAACAACAACAGCTTCTGAATTACCTTTTGCTAATAATGACCAACACAAGTAATATAACTGTGACCATGGGATGAAAATCTATTTAAGCTCTTCAGCCACCTCGTAGCGTGCTCTAGTTCAAAAGTTTAGTTAACTGAGTATTGTCATCTCAATACGCTCTTACGAATTAACCTTCTAAATTATAGGAATTTTAGCTACAGCAGCTTCAGCTATATTTGGTAAGTTTTATCTTTGTAGCTTTATAGAATTTTTAGTAGTGTAGAATAAAATTTGGATTGTTTTAAAATTTTCTTTCATTAAAAAATTAATATTTTTGAATTTTTAAGGATAATCGGTTCCCTACTGTATTTATAACATTCTCTTTTAATTTTTAGTTAATGTTTTTGAAACAAAAAGTTATTAATTATTTGTGTTGTTCAGTTGCAAAACATGATAGTTTGTAACATTTAGAACCCAAAATTATTTGGTATAAGAGGCATTAAAATAGTGTGATCTAAAACACAATATAAAGTGTTATTGAGACATCCATTTTTTTTATTTTAGATTTGGTCGCTAAAAAACTTAATAATTTGTTAAATTTAATGTAGATGCTGGGTTTTTAAGATTGCAAAAAGATAAAAATGTTTAGTTTGACTAAATTGTATTGAACACATGTTAAAATCATTGTTTAAGTTAACTAAATTACGTCTGGTGTTGTGTTGAAATAATATTCCAACATATTTGTTTTCACTTAAAAGATATTTTATTTTTTATCAATCAATAACATGCCTCTGTCTATAAATTGAATAAAACCTCGTTCGTTTTCTGCTATGAGTTTAATTAATTGAACCGTGTACTTCTTACGAAAATTCATCACCAATTGTAATCCACACTTTAGATTTTTGGTCAATAATTGTGATTCAGATTCAAAATTTAATCCGCCAAGGTAGAACCCCAGACAAGAACACACTAAGCCATTTCCATCCATCTTGTTGATAACATTGACCATTGATAATATTATGTACCACCAACTTTGTTAATTTTTAAATGTTGAAGAGCTATTTTCCCATTTATGTTCAGGGTATCTGCTACATTTTAGATTTTCAA